CATTCCTCAGCAGACTTACATCATTCTCTAATTGCTGCCTTAGTCTTGGAAGGGAGATGAGGCAAGTTACCGGTGAAAAGCAGGCCCAGAAAAACGGCAGCTTTGCAGAGGTTCGTTTACATAATGAAAGGATCAGGGACTGGATCAGCTCTCGCCCACTCCAAGCCCAGCTGCAGGAGCCATTGTGTCCACCCGCCCGTGTCTGCTGGGGAAGGGTTCCAAGACCACTAGTGGTCGCCTGAGCCCCCGGGCGGTACTGCGCCCTGGATGTGCTGTTGCTTTCCTATCTTGACGGCTTCTCTTGGGCACGTCCCCATTCCCAGAATCGCTAGTCTTACACGTTGAGGCCGTTGCAAAATGAGGTCACGGTGACATGAACACAAGCGCAGCCGTACCGCCATCGATCTGAGACATACCCTGTACCCCACGGGAAGGGCTACCCCACCCCACTGAGTGACCGACAGATGGGCAGCGTCTGCATTGTAGACACGGTGGACCAGGGGTAGCTCAGATCTGGGGGGGACAGAGCAGGGTGGCGAGACACTTCACCACGCCCCTCCGAGCAGCGCACGGTGTGAGACTCACAAATTGTTTATCCCTGGAATTTTCCGTGTAATATTCCAGACCGCAGAAAGAGAAGCTGCATAAGGGGAGGGGCTGGGGCTGTAACTCCACCTCTCGTCCTCAACAGACAGGTCTCTCCTGCGGTTTTGGCTCCGAGCTCAGGAAGAGAGCCCTGCAGTTTAGGTGGGGTGTCTCAGCGGGTGAGGCCGGGCCGGGGTGGAGAGGGGAGTGCTTCTGAAGGTGACTGCCTTTAGAAGTCTCGGTGTGCCAGGCGTGTGTGCCTGTCACCCCTTCATGTACACCAGCTCTTTGTCGCATGACATCTAGTTGTGGTGATGGATTTCATGTCTGTGTCAGCCAACAAATCACTCTATGTCCATGTTTCCTGTGAACAACATCAGATCAGGTGCCTGATCCATAATTATTTCATGGCCAGCTTTTTTGCCAACGACCATGTCGCGTCAGCTTGAGGACGACCACACACATGCACACACGCACACAGAGTTTACCGGGACACATTCCTAAGAAGCAAGCCCTGCAGCTGCTGCATAATGTAGCAGACACTATGTTGGGGGATCCCTGGCCCGGTTTCTGCATATTCCTAAGTGCTCTGGAGAATGGCTGTGTCGGAAGGTACCATTTAGAGCAGCGATCCCCAACCATTTTGGCAGCAGGGACCGGTGTTGCGGAAGACAGTTTGTCCACGGGGTGGCGGCGGGGGACAGGAGGCAGAACTCAGGCAGTAATGCCAGCGAAACCCACTCCTCACCTCCTGCTGTACGGCCCGGTCCCTAACAGACCTTGGACCTGTGCTGAGTGCGGACCCCAGTCCCCACTGGTCCTTAGTCCCCAGGACCCCAGCTTCAGAGGATAACCCTAGTCTGAGCCCAATTTTGGTTTGTTACCTGACAGGCAACCTTGACACTGCTCACGGCTGCCCAGTGAGATGGTGTGAGTTGTCCTAGCTGACCACACGTACCCAGGGGTGTCTCAAGGGGGCTCAGGGGCTGGGCCCAAGGGATGTTGGGGGCACAGTCAGGACTCGCCTGAGGCTCCTGGACCAGCTGCAGACGGACTCTGCTGTAACCAGCCACTTAGCAGGAGGGGAGAGGTTACACGAGGACAAAGCTCTTCCGTGGCTGAGGGGCTGAATTCTACACCTGAGGCCGGGACCCCAGCTCTTCGTCACACAGACATGCTTGTTCTGCAGACGGGCCCCTGGGAGGAGGAAGAAAAGAATGCCGGAGAAATGATTAGTTTAGTGGAAGGCACAGACCAGCTGCAGCTGGTGCAGAGAATACTGACTGGTTCAGCCATTTTCCTTATCACCCTTTTGTGGAACGTAATCTTTGATGCCTCAAATGAGAGGAATATGTGGCAATGCAGGACTTTCCTATTATGTATTTATACCTATTTGATTTAGCCTGAAGATAAAGTATTTCCTAATTTTAAGCCTTTAATTCAAAATAAGTGGTCCACAGCTCTGTCACAAAACTGCTGGTGATTTGGACCAAAAACTGTCAGTGTCAGCTCAAAATGCCATTTTCGTCCCAAAATGAGTGTCTCCATCTCTAGCAGGTGCACTTTGGGAAGCACACAAAGCCACCCTGTTCTTCCCAGGAGGGAGGCGGTTGGGGTCCGCGCCACGTGGTGGGGGGGTCCCCCTGCCTCCGGGCCTGTGGCCGTGAAGTGGGTGGGGTGGAAGGGGCGGCTCTCTCTCCTGCAGGGCCGGACACCTGAGTGGGCTGCCGGACAGGCCGTCTGCAGTGTGCCGCCACCTGTGCGCCAGGTCCCGCGTGGCTCCCGCCCTCGGTGGAGGCCCTTCCTTCCGCCCTTCCTTCCGTGGGGTAGGAGAGGACAGCGAGGCTCCTGTGCATGCTCCTCTCTGCTGCATGTGGAGAGGCTGCTCAGCCTGCCCAGGGTCACACAGCCAGCCGCTATCGACAGTGGGGAACAGCAGTGGGGGGGGGGGGGGGGGGGACCATGAGAAAGGGCCCAGAGGTGTTCCGAGGTGGTTGCCGCCAGTTCAGAAAGGGAAGGATGGAGGAAATCAGACAAAAGAAGATCCGGACCGGGCCCCCCCAAGCCTGGGCCTGGTGGTCTGGGATGCGCCCTCCCCCACAGCCCGCCCATTCTTCAAGTGGTCCGAATGCACGGGCAGTCCTCACCGCAGCACTCAGCCTGCCCACCCTGCTTGGCTTTGCAGACGCCCTTCCCTGGTATCTCCCCCTTCTCAACAGAACTGCTTTTCTGGTTACTGCTTGGAAGGGGGTCGGTTTCCTAGCTTGGGGCGGGGTGTCTTTGGAGAGATCTGAGCACCATCCAACCACTGTCCAGGCTGCCCTGGGCCTGAGGGAGTGGGTGGCCCCCTCCTCCCCTCTGTGCCCTGCCCCGTGGTATGGTTGAAGCTTGCAAATCAAAACTGAACAGAGAATGGGGAGCCAGGCACGTTCTTCATTCAGCGTCTGGCCAGGCCAGAGTTTGATGGGGGAGTTCGTTTTGAAATGGCCTGGCCCGGGAGGCAAAATTACTTTGAAAATAACTTTTGGAAGAGAACATTTTATGCTGCTCACTCAGCACACTGTAGCAATTAAAATGCTGGTTTTCCTCCTGTTAGAGAGCTATCCCTGAATAATTTATAACTTCGCCCACCTGAGGCTGCAGGGCTTTGCTGAAATGAAATGACTTTCGTGAGGGGTGGGCATGGAGCTTCAGGCTGTCCTTGCTCACGGCCCCCACTCCCCGATCTCGCTGTCCTGCCAGCTGGGGCCTCCGCCTCCGAGGTCAGTTGGTACCTGCGGCACCGGGTCTGCCTGGTGCCATTCCAAACGATGACCGATGGAAGTGGACACGATGGTGACTTCTCTCTCTGGGCCTCAGTTTCTTGTTCTGTGAAATGGAGGCAGTCGGAGCATTCTGACACCCACAGCCCAGCTGCCTGAGGGCTTCTGTAATGTCTCAGGAGAAGTTCCCAGGTTCCAGGTACCTGCCCGGGGCCGGCGCTCTGCTGGCTGCCCCCACGAGTTCCCCATTCATTCTGCCACACACACGGCCTCGCGAAGCGGGCGATACAGTGCCGGTTTTACAGTGGAGACGGGAAGAACTTTGTCTGAAACTGCAGTTAGCCAGGCGCAAATGGAGGGTTTCCACTCTGCAAATCTGAATCTAAAACTTGGTGTCTTGTGTGCATTGTCGGTCTTTTAATTTTTTTAAAATGTTCAATCGTGGTTGCCATCCGTGTTGTATTGGCGTCGGGTGTACGGCATAGTGGTTAGACATTTATATACCTGTAGAGCCGCCCAGGAAGGCCAGTCCCCACCTGGCGCCGCACGTAGTCATTACAGCATCATTGACTCTTCCCTGTGCTGTGCTTCGCCTCCCCGGCTGTCAGTCTTATTTTCGCTGCGGGAAGCTGGATTTTCCGAGGCTGCCTCTGTCAGTAGCAGAGGGAGGCCGTGGGAAGGGGACTTCTGAAGAACGTGCCCAGCTTTTAGTAGAGATCACTGCACGGCCGCAGTCGAAGCCAGACTTGTCTCCCACAGGTCTCTGCACACTGCCAGCCGGCTTCAGTCACTCCGTGGCGTCGAAAGCTGTAGCTCTTAAGACTGTATGTATGGGCCTGGCCAGGTAGCTCAGTGGGTTGGAGTGTCCCAATTCACCAAGGTTTCGGGTTTAATTCCCAGTCAGGGCACGTACAAGAATCAATAAATGAATGCATGAATGAGTGGAACAATGATCAATGATTGTCCCTCTTTCTCTCTCCCTCCCTCTCTCCAAAACTGGTTTTATAGAAAAGGCTGTACATATGAGTGTAAATATATATACACACAAATGACGTTAAAGTGTGTGTACCCACGTTTATATCGGTGTGTGTTTCTAAGACCGCGCCTGCGTTTGTTAAAAACTGAGCTTTTTACCGCACTGGCGCAGTTGTCTAAACGAGTCCCTTCGGGGTTCTTCGCCGACAGATTCAAAGTTACCGTGTGCAGAATGCCTGATAAAGACCTTGATCTCACTGGGGTGGGATTTTTCGGGCCCCACGTGGTGGGAGAATTCTTATTTACAGAGCTCCTCCACTCAAGAAAACAAATGCCGAGGCCACACAGCCAGGCTCCTGCGGTAAGAATTCCGTAGGCTGTGTGTCTCCAACAGCCCCTCTCCCCCACTATACACTGTCCCTTACTCTTTGGGACAGCGTGTCTGAATTGGCCAGATTTGTGAGAAAGGTGCGAGCGCAGGATGGAGAGGGGCCCCAGGTGGTGTGTGAGGACCCAGGGGACCGGGAACCCGGGGAGCAGGGTACGAGCCCCCCGCCTCACCAAGGGTGTCGGGAACGGCGGCCTGTGGGCAGAGATGCAGCGATGGGAGCGTGTCCCCGTCCTGGATGGAGTGTGGCGGCATCACAGCCATAAGCGCTCGGCCTGTCTTTGCTTTAGGTCCCACCCGAAAGATGCCCCCCAGCGCCAGCGCCATGGACTTCTTCCAGCTCTTTGTCCCCGACAACGTCCTCAAGAACATGGTGGTGCAGACGAACATGTACGCCAAGAAGTTCCAGGAGCGCTTCGGCAGCGACGGCGCCTGGGAGGAGGTGACGCTGGCGGAGATGAAGGCGTTCCTGGGCTACGTGATCTCCACCAGCGTCTCCCACTGCGAGTCTGTCCTCAGCATCTGGAGCGGCGGCTTCTATAGCAACAGGAGCCTCGCGCTGGTCATGAGCCAGGCCCGCTTCGAGAAGATCCTCAAGTACTTCCACGTGGTGGCCTTCCGCTCCAGCCAGGCCACGCACGGCCTCTACAAGGTCCAGCCCTTCCTCGACTCCCTGCAGAGCGGCTTCGACTCGGCCTTCAGGCCTTCCCAAACCCAGGTGAGGCTGGCGCTGGGAGAGGTCCCCTCTAGCATGCTGGCCTGGTCTGGTGGCAGCTGAAGTAGGAAGCAGCGGTCACCTTGGGCATCCTCCCCTTCCTGCCTCCACTCTGAGGTCATTTCAAGGTTACCCCTGCTATTCTCGCATCCCACTGACCCCTGTAACTCAAGGGAAATTATATAATAACATCTCCAGAGCACAGACAAGTCCAAATTCAGTGTGTGCTCCGAGATGCCCTCCCCCCCTTTTCTCCCCACTCTTCCTCTCCTTTAATGACACTTTCATTCCAAGTTACGTTTGCCCAAGCTAATGTGAGTTTTCCTGTCCTGTTCTCCGAGTCTGTGCTTGTCCTAAGGTGGTGGGAGGGGCAGGGGGTCTTCTAGGTGGTGAAGGGCAGCACCCTGGGATCGCAGCCGCTCGCGGCAGCCAGGAGTTGCTGCTGCGCAGGGGTCCGTGTGGCCCACACGGCAGGCGTGTGAGCCCTGGGAGGAGGTCTGGGGAGCCCTACGCCTAATCGTTGTGGCTCCGACACCTCCCTGCCTCCCTACCCGATTCTGGAAGTCCCTGCGTGGTCTCTGCCGAGTCTCTGTGACAGTGACCTGTGACACGCATTTGGCTGTGGTGACAGTTTCAGAATTGTCCTCCCCGTTGCTCTGTGAGTCCACTGCACTGAGGAGGTGGCTGGTTCCTGCAGGTTCTGCAGTGTCCCGTGTGACCCCATGTCCCTTTGACCTGCTCTGTGTGGAGACAAAAACTCACTTCAGTTTTATTTCTGCATTCGACGACCCATCAGTTGACCTTCTCTTCCTGTGCTTATTCTTTAAGGGCCTTCTCAGCCTCAAATTCTCTTTGGTTTTCTCTCCGAGCTCCTTTACCTCGTCCATAGGTGAGAACCGCAGGGGTTTGGTGGGGAAGATCCACCCAGTCCAGGTTTTCGGGAGCCTTGAGTGGTCCCTGCGTGTCCCCTGCCGTTCTGTGAACAGTCCTTTCCAGGCGTTTGCGACGCTCCGACTCCTGGGAAGCTCCCCTCCTCTCTGCCTGGGCAGACGCGTCCGGTCTCGGCCAGTGTAAGGTCCATTCCCACCGTCCTGTTCTCCTGCCCCCTGACCCCCACCCCCTTCATTTACAGCCCAAGGTCATTTTGTCTTGTCTCCCAATTGTGTCACTTACCTCCCCACCCGGCGGCAGGGGCTTTTGGGGTCGCAAGCCCACCCTTGTAACAGCCCACTGGGCCCGGTGCAGATGGGCCCATCATTGTTTTCCAGAGTATTCGATTGATTGGACATGAACCAAACCAGAAACCTGTTGGCTGGATGACGGGAAAAAACCCAGTATTCAGGCCATGTTTGGGGTCGGGCACCCGGGGGGGCTCCTCGAAGAGCTGCTGGAGAAGGCTGTGGGTTCACGGCGCGCCCGCGTCTCTGAGGAATAAAACAACCGGCCGTTTGGGTGACTGATGCTTTGTAGCCTGGAGACGCCGTGGCTCGGCCCCGAGGCCAGGGGGGCCTTGCCCCTGCGGACTCGAGTTCACTGTGCCCGCTGCGCGCCAGCGCCTGTGGTCCGGGCCGTGGGAGACCTAAATCCCCAGCTGCCGCCCGACCTCGTGTGTGTCCCCAGCACTCTGGGGGAGCTCTCCGGGACCCAAAGTGCCCACCAGGGAAGTCTGAGGGTTTGGGACTCGCCCCCGCCCAGCCCCAGGCTGGTGTCCTGAGGGGCCCAGCAGCCATCCTGAGTCTTGAGCCCGGTGCCTGCCTGCAGGCAGGTGTCTCAGGAGGCAGAGCTGTCCCCTCTGTGGCACACTCAGATGGGCAGATTGCTGGGGCAGGGGTGACAGGGAGACCCTGGTCACTTTATTCTGGCTGCAGACATCCTTTCCTTGCCTCCAGTTGCCGAGGCTGAGAGGGGAGGGGCCTGAGCTGAGGCTCAGTGGGGGGCGGGGCTCCCTGGCCACGTCCGTTGGTCGTTTTTCCTCCTTGTCTTTTTTTTTTTTTACCTTTATGCTTAGTTTTCACCCTTGTGTCTATGAAGTTATGTTTCCTTTTTTCTGCCACTTTCCACCCCGTGCCCTGTTGTTGGCCAGGATCCCGCAGGAAACGGTGCTATAGAAAGAAGGTGGGAGAGGATCCGGGGTGGGCAGGGGTGTGGCCAGGGTGGTGAAGTGGAGGGACAGTGACGGCCACAGCCCGGGGACAGGCCCGAGGACGTGGGCAGGCTGGGAATGGCTCTCCAGTCTCTTGCTCGAGCCTCCCACTTGGCCACGCGGACCTGGGCGCCGTTTGTAAGAGGTCGGCCTCCAGGCCACAGCACCGGCAGGAAGGGAGAGTAGGGAGTCTGGTGGCACATAAACACCCCGCACAGCCTGCCCCCCGACAGGTGGGACCCGAGGCGGAGGGACAGTCCGGGTGCCCAGGGCCACTTCTCCTGTTGGAAATTCGAGATGGAATTTCCTCTTCTTCCTGCCTTCCTCCCCTGGGTCAGCAGACGTGGCTGCAGGGCTTCTCCCTTCGGCCTCCGGTGCGTTGGTGCCTGTGTTTACTCTCCTCCAAGACCGGGAGGAGAGGTCCTCTTCTGATCCTGGAGAAGCTGGGCGCCCCAACACTTTCCAGGTTTCTCAGCTGAGCCCCTGCTGGGCTCTGGAATGTTCGATTCAAGGAGAGGGGATCCAGGAGTGAGTTTGGTTGCAGGTTGCTGCCGGCTGCCCGCAGCCTCGGGGCTCCCGGGCAGGGCTGTCCTGCCCCGGGTGAGGTCCTCCGGTTCACTTGTTCTCCATCCCTCATCAGCTGGGGGGCGGCCTTGCTCTGCATCCTTTCCCTGACACTCAAGTCACCGCGGGCACACAGCACAGTCGCCTCACAGACTCCACGCACCCTCTGCCCTGTGACCCCTGGGGCCTTTGGACCCAGCAAACGTGACCCTTTGGGCTGAGTCACAACTTTTACAATCTTCAGAAATTAACAGCTCCCAGAATGCAACAGTAACCCTGTGGGGTGTGTGCGCGCACCTGTGCACCTGCTGTGCATGGCTATGTGTGTGCACTTAACACACACATGCAGAATGGGGAGACGCCGAATTTCCTCAAAATTGGGGACAGGTTAATTAGAATATCTGCAGGAGGGATTACACAGGTACATAGAGGGGCACTTTGTCTCTCCCCTACTCGACCCACTGCCACACCCCAAAGTGAGGTTGTCCGACACAGAGGTACTGCGGACACACAGCTGCTGATGGACCTGCTGACCGTCTGTGGCCTGGCGGCGGCGGTGGAGAAGGAGGTTTCCTGGCAGAGTTTGGGGGCTGCGGTGGGCACGCTGCTCTGGGCTGCATTTAGTAATGGCCTGTTCAGAATTCACTTACTGCTGATGGAAAAGCGGGAAGCCGCAGTGGGGCCCAGAAACCCTCGCTGGCCCTTCCGCGCTAGTGAGCATGTGATTTGTAGCTGATCCCACACTGAGTGCAGGTGGAGTGGAGCTGCGTGGGCTGGAGCTGCGTGGGCTTCCCACGATGGGAGAGGGCAGCGAAGCGCATCTCTGCGTCTCTCCTTCCCTCCACTCCGCTTCCCCACCGAGGCAGGTGCTCGACTTTGCTAGAGTGGTTCCCAATGGGGCCTCGATGGTTCGTGAGCCAAGCAGAGCTGGCAAGTTCAGGACACAGGCACCAGGGTCCTGGGGGGCACCTCACCAGGCCTGCCCCCACAACAGGGAGACAGGCCGGGCTTGTTCGCCATGCTGGCAACAGAAAAGCCCAGGGGGCCAGTGTACAGAACCCAGACCGAACGCCGCAGCCCGTCACGGTTTTTACTGATCGACTCCAGGTAGCAGTAGTGAACGAACGGAAGGAAGGGTGTGGTGGGCATCACCTCCCATCCTGCTCTCGGCCCAGCGGGTTCCGACACCGCCCGGGAGCTGCTTGCAAAGGCGGCCACGTGGGCCCTGCCCACTCTTACTGAATCAGACTCGGCATTTTAGTAACGTTCCCTGGTGACCACTGTGTTTGTTCGAAACAAGTTCTTAAGGTCCTGGTGGAGACCAGGGGCTGGAACACTCTTTCCGTCACGGCCTTTCATGAGACGTGGTAGAATTTTTGACTTTGTGAGCCATCAGGCTGCCGTTTCAACTTGTCAGTTCTGCCACTGTAGCCCGAAAGCAGCCGTCACCAGGGCAGGAGTGAGTGAGCGCGGCGGGTTCCGATAAAACTGTGTGCAGGCTGGGCAGAGAGAGGGCCAGACCTCACTGGCCCCGGTCCAGAGCGCCTTGCAGAGTTCTTGGAGTCCTGTGATTTCCCTCACTCTTCATTTCAGGGAACTACCTACATACACACCGATTCATAATTCAGCTTGGAGTAGGATCGGGGGGTGGGGGGTGTGGAGCAGGGTCCTAAAGTTTACCCAAAAGTCTCCCCAAAAAGTTTACCTTGAAGAGACAAAACTTTGGCCACCCCTTAGAGCCTATTTTTCAAATGCTCTTTCTTTTTACTTTATTGTCTTGTCGCTAAAAATGTCTTCTACTATGTTATCAGGAAGCTAAATTATAAAAATGACTTTTAAAACTGCCTTGGGATCCTGTGTTGAAAGAACGTGGCACCCTGGGGCAGAGCCCAAGGCCGGGTCATGGCAGCAAAGGAGCTGGGTCATTTCAGGAACCGGGAAAAGCAGGTGGTAAGCCAGCGTGAGAGCCGTCTGGAATCTCGAATACCTAAACAAATAGTGTATGAGGGTTTGTTTGTTACAGGGCAGAAGTCAGAACAACAGGCTTAAGTTAAATGCAAGTAAATTTTGAGTGAGGAAGAGAACTTTGTAACATTCGAAGCTGTCGTCTGGGAGTGGAAAGGTCTTTCGTGAGAAGTGGGTGCCTGCCACCAGGCATGACCGAAGAGAGGTCAGGGCCTGGTGATCCCCCCATCAAGTGACATACAGTTTTCCATTTACCGAACACCTGTCATACGTCAGGACCTGCACTAAGCGCTTGGCATCCAGTTTCTTACTTGCGCCTCCCCAGAACTCTGGTGTAGATATTGGCGTTACTCTGCTGTAGAGGAGGAGAGTCAGGATCAGAGAGGTAGAGTAACTCAGCTGAGGTCGCACAGCTGGTCAAAGGTGGAGACAAGGCTTGAGCCCACACCTGATGACCTCCTGAGCTCACACGGCTTTCCCTGAGAACCTCTGCCTCCACTCTCCCGGCAGGTGCTACACGAACCCCTGATTGACGAAGACCCTGTGTTCATTGCCACGTGCACGGAGCGGGAGTTGCGAAAGAGGAAAAAGCGGAAATTCAGCCTGTGGGTCCGGCAGTGCTCTTCCACTGGCTTCATCATCCAGGTGAGCCTGGGGCCGGGCCCAGGGGCCAGGGGAGAGTCAGGGCCCTTGGCCCATCGGGTGACTGATGAACTCACCCACCCTTTCACTGTATGTCACCCGGCTGTTCCAGCTGAGGCTGGGGCTAGGCCGCTCCCCCCTACCCTGGGGCCCTGGGGTAGCTGGTACTGCCCGCTGCATGTTCTTCCTACCCAGCCCAGGCCCTCAATTAAATAGCCGCAGTGACCACTGATCAAGACTCCCGCCTGTACGGGGTCAGCCCTCTTCACCACAACAGTGGGGCAGAACAGGTGACTGCCATCTCTCCTGAGAGCACACTTGTGGTGGGTCCGGAAGGCCCCAGTCCTGCCCTCTGGTGCTGAGGACACCCTTTGAACAGGCCAGCCCCAGCTCCAGCCAGAGGGTGGAAGCAGCCCCGTCCGGAGCGTGGCCTTCCCAGCCCTGCTCTGGTCCCTCCCGGTGGACGCAGGCTCGCATTTTCTGAGAAGTGGCCAGGCCATGCGTCAGCAACCATGTTAGGGTCTGAGCTGCCAGGAGCAGCCGGGGTGCAGGGCTCGGACGAGAAGGTGGGGTGTGGTGACAACTGGAGGTGGCAACACGCGACGGCTCCTGGCCTGGGCTGGCTTCTCCTGTCCTGCTGCCCAGCACCTGTCCCACCGGTCACAGCTGAGCCTGCCTCGGTGCCCTTGCCCGGCTGCAGCCCGAGGCAGGGGGTTCGTTTGGCTGGGCCACGGTACCCAGATATGTGGTCAGCCACTGTGTTGGATGTTTCCGTGAAGGTGTTGTTTCAGGTGAGATCTACATGTAAACCAGTGGACTCAGAGTGCAGCAGAGACCCTCCAGAGTGGGTGGGGGGCTCATCCAATCAGACGAAGCCTCAGCAGAATACTGGGGTCCTGAGGAAGAGGGACTTCTACTGGCAGGCCGTCTTCGGGTTTGAACTGTCACCGTCCCCTGGGCCTCCAGCCTGCTGGCCCGCCCTGCAGGTTTTGGATTCACCAGCCTCCTTAATCATGTGAGCCATTCCTTAAAACAAATGTCTCACCATAGACAGACGCGTCGGTCAGTCGGTCAGTCTCAATACACCTCCACCTGTTGGTTCTGCTGCGGAGGGAGTTGCCGGCGGCCACGTGGCCTGCGTGGCCTGGCTGCTTCTCGGGCTCACTGCCGGTGCTCGCCCCGGATTCTGAATGAGAGGGGGGACGGCGGCATCTTCAGCTTCGCCTTTCCAGAATCTAGAGGGCTTTCTGTTTTTTTTTTGTGGGGCAGGGGGTTCTTTTTTCATTTTGGTAATTGAAGTCCAAGACAGGTTCCTGTTGTTACTGAGGAATTTACAAAACAGATGGGAGGGTGAGAGCTCTGCAAACAAACCCTAAGCACAGGTTGTTTTCGCCATGCTGTTATGGACTCAGCATCGTCCGTGGCCTCGAAGACCCAGAGGTAAATGGGGCCCTCGCTGCCTGGCCGGTAGGAGAGGTGGAGGAGTTGAACATACTCACAGACAGTGTGGCGGGCGCAAGACCAGGGGTGTGTGTGGAGTGTCGTGGGCTGAAGGGGGGCACCTGTGGGCTGAGGAAAGCCCCCCAGGGTGCACAGGACAGGACACGTGATGTGCCAGGGAAGGGGGTGACCTGTGACTGCAGGCGTTGGAGGGACAGAGCTGAAGGGAACACACGCCCTGTGTCTGGGTGCTGCACCGTGGCGGCTGCTGGCTGAGGTGGCTGTTGAGCACTTGGAAGGGGATGAGTGTGACTGGGGAACTGGAGTTTTCAGTGTACTCAGTGTTAGTTAATTCACACTAAACTGGCCACGTGTGTCTCGTCCAGTCTAGAGCTTCGCCATTAAAAAGCCCTTTCTCCGTATACAACTTCCACTTAAAGTCAGTGGCCTTGCTGGCTGCGTCGTGTTATTATCCTTGCAAGTCAGAAAGTTGGCGCTCAGAGCCATTGAGTGACTTGCCCCAAACCACTCAGGCCGGTGGGTGACAGCGCCGTGCCCACGGGCTCCAGCGCACACCCCCACCCGCTGTCTCCTTGTGGGGGACTCGGCTGCTCTCCTGGTGAGTGACCATCATTGAAATTTTGCAGTTCTTACGAGCGGCCCCCAAATGTCCCAGGCCACAGCCTCACACACATCCATGAGCTTGTTCTACGTCATTTCAGTGAGACTGTCACTCTTGCACTGTCCCTCCTGGCTACACTGTGCCCCTCTGTCTCTGGGGAACACTGCCAAAGGCCCAGTGACAGCTTAGTGGAAGTGTCAGCTGGTACAACGTCTGTGTCGCAGCTGTCGCCGGTGTTTTTTGAGAGACCGGGGTGGGGTGAGGGAGACGGAGCCAGGCCCCCTCTCGAGGTCTTGGGGCACTTGAGAAGTAAGGCTGAGATGGCAGTTGTGTGTGACCCGTGTCCCCTAGGCATTGCTACGGTAGTCCACACTTCCTAAAATTCTGTCTGTCAGGACGTCACTGTAAAATACACTCCGTTAGTGATCACGTTCTGGTGCAAGATGTCACGTTCTGGTTCTCATACTGGTAACTTCCTCCCCTCACGGGCTGCACCAGGCATCTGAAAGTTAATAACTTGTATCCCGTAAAACTGGTTTTAGGAAAAGTGAAACTCTTGGCAACTGAAAGACACAATTTTCTGCCCTCAAGACACTGGTCAAATCAGCTTGTGGCTCAGATGGTAAAAGCATGTACGGCAAATTCCACATACCCAGGGGTGGACGTGTTTAGCGCCATGCTGTTCTCTCTAGTCATGTGGAGGGGGAGAGAGGACTTTCTGCAAAGCAGCAACCACGCAGTTAAGTGAAGGGCATCTCCTTCAGCAGTGCTCCTGGGAGTTCTGATAGAACGTGCACCCCAAGTGTGTCTGAGTGTGTGCGTGCACAGGGATGCGGCTTCGCCCAGACCCACTCTGCAAGCAGCTGTTTGCACATCCTCAGCAGCGGTGGCAGTTGGGATGAGATTCCGTTGGGAGTCCTGATCTTTCTTACAGGGTGATAGGTGTGTTCATCCACTCGGCATCCTGGACCAGCCGAAGCCACTCAGTCAGAGCGAGGCAGAGCAGTGGGGTGCTGCGCGAGGGGCCGCCAGGCCGAGCCTGGTTTGCACAGCCTGTGAACACTTCCTTCTGAATTGTGCCCCCTGGCTTGGACTTTTGAGGTTACTAGGTTTTTATGTTACCTGTGTAATGTAGATCTTATTTTATATTCACTTTAAAAAGAAACTCACTAATGGAGAGCTCTGAGTGCTGCTAGTTAGGAACCCCCTCAGGACTCTGATGGCTGGTACTGTTGACCTCAGCCTTCCTCCAGATTTCCTAGTTGGAACGAGAGAGCTCTGAGTCCCTCTAGCCCCCGTCTGTGACGGGAGGGGACCGGCTGGAACCCGGAGAAGTGCCAGTGTTCAGATGCGCGCGTGTGGGCAAACTAAGGTGGCCCTGCAACGGGACTACATGCCGTTGGGGGAAGCGTGTTCTTCCCAGGAGAGCGAGAGGCCGGCCGTGCCTCTGAGAGGTGCTGGTCCTTCCAGGTGGGCACTTAACACAGTTTGAACTAACCGCACCTTGGACCAGAACCGTCTCAGATGCCACCGTCTCAGATTCCTTCTTTTTGACGGTTTTACCCCATTCCCTTCTCTCTTCAGCTCCTCCTGCCCCCCTGTCATTTCTCTGTGAGCCCTGCCTCTGTGGCCCACACCCCTCAAGGCCAGGGACCCTGGGAATCCGGCTCAGATTGGGGCACAGACAAGCGCAGAGGAAGGGAGGGAGCCATGCTAGGCGCTCGCTGACCGCCGTGTGTTTCTGTTAAAGATTTATGTCCACCTGAAGGAAGGCGGGGGCCCCGATGGGCTGGACGCGCTGAAGAACAAGCCCCAGCTGCATGGCATGGTGGCCCGGAGCCTGTGCCGGAACGCGGCCGGCAAGAACTACATCATCTTCACGGGGCCCAGCATCACCAGCCTGACCCTGTTTGAAGAGTTCGAAAAGCAAGGTTGGTTGGCGGCGAGCCGCTGCGAGCCCGGCCCCCTGCCCGGGAAGGTGGCGGGCCGGGTCCGGGGTGCCGGAGTGGGGTGGCCAGCTTGGACCACAGCCAGGAGGTCTTCCCAGGGGGAACAGGTCACCCCAGCCTGCAGTGGGCACTGAGACCCTGCACCCCAGGGACCGGGCCGCCGGCTCTCAGTCTGGGGGAGGAGTCAGCACAGAGCTCTGCCCAGGCTTCAGGGCTCGTTTCTTCGTGCCCTTGTTGTAAGGAGGTGGAAGGAGTTCTGTTCGTGTCCTACTCGAGCTGCTGGAATGAACTAGCGCAGAGCCGGTGGCTTAGAACCAACAGACCTTTATTTCACACCGTTCTGGAGGCTGGAAGTCCAGGACCAGGGTGCCGGCAGGGTCGGCTGAGGGTCCTCTTCCTGGCCGTGGAGGGCGTGGTCTCTGTCCTCCCATGGTAGAAGAGCAGGGGAGGTCTAGACGGCACCATCCCATCCTGCAGGGCGGCACACTTGTGACCAAAGCCCCTCCCAAATGCCCCGCTTCCTAACGTCCTTACACCACATTGGGCATTGGGTTTTCCGAACAGGGATTTGAGGGGCACAGACACTCAGCCTGTAGCACGGGACGCAGCTCCTACAGGGTGCTAGGGAGTCTGAACTCAGCCCCATCTGCAACAGAGCGCTCGCAGTTGGCAGAGAGGTAGATGCTGGAGAGACTCCTGTGGATCGAGGCAGGTACGGACACTGGGCCTCGGAAGGGTCTCCCCTGCCTGCTAAGGTGCCCGGTGCATTTGTGGCAAAGATGGGCCCAGCCTCTGCGGCTCTGGCACGACCAGGAGCTGGAGTGACAGGTCTGGGCCAAGTCGGGAAGCCTGGCGGGGGCGTTTGCCTTCGCCCTGTCCTACACGTAGGGGTGCGTGTCTGGCCAGCTCAGGAGAAACATGAGAAGCCCCTGCTCTGCTGGAGGAACCACCCGACTGCAGACGTGTTGCTTAGCCACAGATCAGACATCTGGCCTTAAAACGAAAGCCGCGCTAGCTGGCTCTGGGACCGGGCAGCCGTAGGGAGCAGCAGCCCAGGATAGTGCGCTCCTGCCGGCTGGGGCACGTGTGCCGGGGCGGGGCCGGTACGGTGCGGCTGAGGATGCCACAGGACTGCCACGGGCCACCTGCGGTTCTGGGGGAAAGGGGCCACCTGCCGGCTCAGGAGACTGGGGGAGGTTGGAGGAGAGTCTTCTAGTGAGAAAACAGTTAGACGTGGAAGTTGAGGTTTTCTGTGAGTGGGCAGAGATTTCATTGCCTGTTTCTTAGAAGCACCTAGAGCTGTGGGCCCTTCCCATGGGCCTCGTGGGCCTCACCTGTGATGTGAGCACCTGGGGTGGAGGTCCTCCGTCTGCAGTGGCCGCACTGATGGCCGCCCGCACACTGGGACGCTGGCCTCCTTGGTCTGCTGTTTCCCTAGGAGATTCCCCCTTGGGAGCACATGGTTTACAGCCAGTGAAAATGTGTATAAAATACGTGCTGCTTCCACAAAGGGACAGATTCAGGACCGCTTGGCTGCCGCTCGGGCTTTCTTATCTTCTCCCCCCCCCCCCCCCGTGGGAAAAGGCAGCTCCGGTGCCCCGAGTCCGGACGGGCGGCGCAGAGCGTCCTCGGCCTGCTGCCCTAGTCTTCCTCCCTGTTTGAAAGCATGTGCTTCTTCTTAAATCTGTGGAGCAGATTTGGGTAGTTCTGTCTGTAGAGGATCAAGCAGCAGGACGCCCTCTCCCTTTGGGACCCCGACCACCAGGGGTCTTCCCGCCACCACTGCTGCTGCTCAGGGAGGAAAGGAACCCCCCGAGTCTGCTGGCCTGGGGTGGGGGTCGGTGACAGGCGCCGATGGGAACGAGACCATGGTCTTCGGTCAGAGTGTCACCTCCAGGCCCCAGACCGAGGACACAGGCTTTGGGGAGGAGGGACTTCCCCAGGGCTATCCGTGGCCGCCTGACCCACCGGGCCCCTGAGCAGGGGAACCCAGAGGGCCTGGAGCCCAGGGTGGAACTCGGGGTCTTCTGTTCCACGGGTCCCTGCTCACAGTCCAGCCCCCATGGAACCTTCTGGGGCTTAGGGGTCACACTCAGGCCCTTCTCCCCCAGGAAGCTGCCACTCTCTCTGCACTTTTGACTCAAAGGCGGGCGCCGGCTTAGCGCGTGTGGTTTGGTGACTCTTCCTCTGCTGGGTTTAACTTCTCTCCCAAGGGGGTGGGGCCCCTGGGTGCTGGGCTGACAGGGCAGGGTGGGCCCTTGGCCGGTCAAGTCTTGGAGACAGTCTTAGGGTGACTTAACTGTGGCCGGGTTTGGAGCTCAGCGTTGCCCTCCAGCCGCGGGCTGCAGTTCCTCTTCTGTGGTGCGGGGTGACAAGGGGAGTCCAGAAGTTTCTAGAAGCGGAAGGGATGGCAGGCGCCCCCGTTTAGTCGGCGCTCTGTGCTCCGTTTAGAGCTCCTGTGTTGCTGTCGCTTCCCTGCATACGTCACAGTCCCACTCGTAACCTCACGCAGACGGTGGACATTCTGGAGAGACTCCGTGTCTGGGAGAAGAGCCCAGACGTCAGCAGTCTCTCCCGGAGGAACCTCTGCAGGCCCGTCTCACGTGCGCTGGTCTCAGACGGGCGGTCTCCTCCCGTCCCCCAGCATTCCCGTGGCCGGGGGCCTCCAGGGCCTCTGATGACATCCGTGTGGTTTTGCGTCCCTGTCCCCACCAGGGATTTACTGCTGCGGCCTGCTCAGCTCCAGGAAAAGCGACTGCACCGGCCTGCCTGCGTCCATGCTGACCAACCCGGCCACGCCCCCCGCCCGGGGCCAGCACCGCATCAAGACCAAGGGCAACATGTCTCTGATCTGCTGGTACAACAAGGGGCACTTCCGCTTCCTCACCAACGCCTACTCGCCGGTGCAGCAAGGTGGGGGCTCCGCTGCGTGTGCGTGGGGTGGGGGGGTGGGTCTGAGGGCCTGTCTGCCCGCAGCACGGGGGTCCCACCCACCCGGTCCCTGGTGGTGGCCAGGCCACAGGCTGCAGCTCACGCCCCGCCCCAGCTGACTAGAGAAGCAGCGAGGGTGGGGCTGCAGGGGCCTGAGGCAGCCAGGTCCCCCAGCGGACGTGGGGTCGGGCGTCTGGCTGTGTTTGGATGGACCTACGTCATCGCTGTCATCCAGCGTTCTGTCAAAATCTATTCTGGTGGGGAGGGAAAGTCAGCTGCTCCTGTCTATTCGTTTCTGCCTTAAAAATCAACCGCTTGCTCTGGGATTTTTGGGTTTGCAGTTGACCTTGACGTTAATTTTCCTTGCAATTTCAAGTCCATCGCTAACGGGATTTATTTAGCAAGGAGTCTCCATTTAAAGTAACCACAGCTAAGACGTTAGTAAACTGCTGGAAAGGCGATTGAAGTGGCGCAGGGGCACTTCCCAAAATATGTACAGCCGTGTGTGTGTTTGAAAAGTCCCTGTGCTCCTTTATGTCAGGGCGCCTTCCTCGTTGCTTCTGAAGGGGCCCTGCTGAGGGGTTCGGTTGTGTGCGTGCACACGTGTGATGTGTGCATGGTGTGGAGTTGGTGCGTGTGTGTGTGTGCCGGAGGTGTGTGTGGTACGTGTGTGGTATGTGCACGGTGTGACGTGTATGCATGTGCGATGTGTGGTGTACGTGGTGTGTGCATGTGTATGTGCTGTGTGTATGTAGGAAATGTGTTTAATGTCTGCTGTCATTTTTTCCCATCCCCACACACAGAAGTGACCACATGATGAAGGGACTGAGCACGTGGGTGTCTTTGTCCCCCACAGGGTTAGAGGGTGTGGGAGCCACACTCATGAGCTCTGTCAAGGCCACTTAGAGGGAGCATTTGGAAGTGACCTTGCAAGGTGAAGGGGAGCGTTTGAATTGGGCTCTTATTCTAGGGGCTGGGGCAGGTGCGGGGCAAGGACGATTTTAGGGACACATTTGGGAGCAGGGTGCAGGGGCTGCTTCCCGCCAAATTACTGTTAAGTGCTAGTCTCAGAAAATATGGCCCAAAGCAGGACACTGCACTTCCCCAAGCTGGGTGACACTGGGTAACAGAGAGGAGATTGCCTCTGGGGAGGCTGGAGAGCAGCACGCAGTAGGACTTCAGAGGACAAATCTTAAAGCTGCAATGTCAGGGTTGGGCCCCTTAAATCAAGGGAACGAGTAAGGAGGATATTGATGGGGAAGAAGAGCTGACTTTTAAATACGCTATGACTTCGAGTTTGTGTGCAGTTCAGTCCGAGTTTCCCTTCCTGAAGGACTCGTGAATCCTAACGTCCTGACACCCACAGTGTGCCCGCAGCATCACCCGCACCTCCGGGGCCCTGGACGTGGTGCCCGGGGAGGGTTGGCACCCGGGATGGGGGCGAGGCTTTAGGAGCTGGGGGCCCGCTGCTGCTCCCCCAGAAATCCCCGCCCCCCCGCAGTTCTGAGGCTGTTAGTTAAATGAAGGGGTGTTTTCCTTTCTGTGTACAACAAAAGCATGGTGTTTTCAAGGCACCTAGCATTTCATCCTATTTGTCATAATTTATCTCGCCTCTGTCCGTGATTAATTTTTTACAGCACAGTGCTGGGTGAACAGCTGCGTGCCCAAACCTTTGGGTGCGTCTTCGATCACTTCCTCAAGATGAGTCTGTGGGTGGGGCGTCTGGGCCGACTGGCCCGAGCTCGTTGGCGGCTTTGGTGGGGGGACAAAGGTCGTGTGTGGTGGGGGGACAGGCCCTGGGGGCCCGACCTTCCTTTATTCTGTCGGATTTTTCTTGTGAGGTCTTTGTCGTATTGACTTGGAAGCAAATTTTAGGGCTATAGCAAATGTTTTCCTTGTTATTTATGGTTAGTATTTTTTAACATAAAAATTTTTTTCATTTCTGAGTAATGAAGTCTGTTCATCTTGTTCTTTGCTCTCAAACTTTAGGCATCTCTGCTCTGTCCCAAGGTGGGTGTGAGTGTATGTTCGTGTGGTGTGTGTGTGGACAGGCAGGTGTGAGTGCGTGTGTGCAGTGTGTGTGTGGACACGCAGGTATGAGTGTGTGTGTGGACTGGTAGGTGTGAGTGTGGTATGTGTGTGGACTGGCAGGTGTGAGTGTGTGTGTGCAGTGTGTGTGTGGACAGGCAGGTGTGAGCGTGTGTGCTTGGTGTATGTGTGGACGGTCAGGTGTGGGTATGTGTGTGGTCAGGCAGGTGTGAGTTCACCTGCTCGTTTTATACGGCGCTTTGCGCTCTGCAGAATGATCCACTTTAAAGTCACCGGGGTGCTTGGCATCAGCAGGAACCTCTATACGTTTTTTATGAAGCACAAGGGTTGGTTGACCAGGCAGCTGCACCTCTGGGCCCGAGCCATTCACCGAGCGAATTCCCTTTCCCTGCCTACTTTACATGTCGTCCAGCTGGCGAGAGCTCACGGATTCTCAAGACTGGTTCTCAGATTTATTCTGTGGCCACATACACTCTTCCGAAACTGAACAGAATTTCCAGTTTTAGAAAATGTTGAGGGACATTTCTGGACTCAGTTTATTGTTCTTTGGAATCTAAGGAAACGAGAAGTGTCTTTCAGAGTTAGCAGTTGCGCATTGCACTTTTTAAGACTCACACGTTGTCCCATGTCTAGGGACGTCCCCATCAAGAACTAAGTCCTCTTGCTTTTCTCCTGAAACCCACTCCAATTTCCCGAGCACAGTCCCTGCTCACCTCGGATTCAGATGCCAGGAGACAGAGGCGCCCCCAGAACGCCTGCCCAGGACCCCGCATCGGCTCGTGACTGCAGACTGAGGGAAGGGCGGCGGCGGTGCTGGCCAAGCCACAGGAGGCCCGTGGGGGTGGTAGACAGAGCTGCTGGGACGTCGGAGACACGGGGTCGGGTAATCCACACGGTGGCCCAGAGGTGACCCCGTGGGGTGCAGCTGTGACCCAGGTTCACACAGAGCTGTGGCGGCACAGGGTCCGCCCAGGGGCCTGTGGGTCCTGTGTGTGTCACTCCCGGGTGTGACGCCAGCAAAGACAGGTAACACCAGGTCACCTCTTGTCAGCATCTGCACTAAGGATCTTTGGGCCTCAGAAAAGGTGATTATAGGGCAGTAACCTGACCCTTTCAGATGGAGCAGTATCTCAAATGCCGAGTGTCACCACAGAGGAGGGTGACCTGGGTTATAAACTGGGGCAGCACTTGGGGAGACAGAGCGCACCGGTGTTTTGAAGCCGCTCTCCTGAGACTCCAAGCCGAACTCTCGGTGCTGAGTTCAAAGGAACGAGAGCGATGGGAAGGCGGTCGCCGTGGCTCGGCGTGTGGGGACGGTGGCCATCCGGAGCTGTCGCCCTGGCCTTGCTGAAGCCAGGAGATTGAAGCTGCAATTTGGGGGAACCCTCGGGACTGTCACTCTGGGTTCCGAGCTCCCGTCCTGGGAGAGGAAGCCTGGCCCCTGGGAACTTCGGGGGCTCAGCAAACAGAGGGTTGGTTTGTTTATGGGGGTGATCTGACCTGCTCACACCCACGTGAACTTGGGGGTTCTGAAGCGGCCTCGGTAGCCCCAGAAGATGCTAGAATTGAATGTCAGACAAGCTAAAATGGAGCTGGGATGTTTCCCGCCAGGTCTGGGTGGGAGGTGGGGCAGGGTGGCTGAGATGAGAGATGGGGAACAGGTGTCCTCAGGAGGAGTGTTAGAGGGAGACAGCCCTCCTTGGAGGCTGCGGGGCGCCCCAGGCAGCTGCCGAGCTTGGCCACAGAGAACGTCCTGGAGGCCGGATCACCCGACAACAGACCCGCTTTGAGCAGAGGGCAGCCCAGAGCCCTCTGGCCAGGCGGAGGCCTCTGGTCCGGGCACGGCTGACCCTCAGCTGTAGGAACGCACCGCCCACCCTGCCCCAGGCCTCTGAGGCCAGGCCGCTGGAGGCAGGGTCCGAGCAGCTCCATCCCTGATGAGCTCTCTGGGGGTTTCTTTAGTGTGAAAATCCAGTGTGTATTTGTGGGCAGGGGGCAAAAAAGAAAAGAAAGCTCCCCTCCTAGGACTCAGCCTGTGCAGAGAGATCTCTGCCACCCTCTCAGTGAGGGTGGGGAGGGGGCACCCCGATAAAGCCCCTTGTGTGCAAGGAACATGCCTTGTTTCCTTCAGCGGAGTCCGTTTCAGTGGGGCTAAAGTTTCACAGCCCTTTGAACTAATCCCTTAAAACAACAACACCCTCGCTGCCTCCACAGCACACCACACCCGGGAGGCTGGGCGGAGCCACAGCCTGGGAGTCCCGGCCATGCGTGAGCACCGGGGTTGGAAGACAGCCCCCTGCAGCGGGTGCCCTGGGCTCCCCACCCCTGGCAGCGGGACTTAGGACTCGCCAGGAGCTGGGCTCGGCAGTGCCCCTAGGATCCTGGCCTCTCTCTACGTGGTGGCAGAACAGGCATGGATGTTGGTGGCTTGTGTGTGGGTGGAGTTTCAGGAGCTGCAAAGGGTACTTTCCATCCCTGAGGCCACAGGGGCCCCAGAAGTCCCAGGAGGCATGACAGGGCTGCTCCTGGGGGCGAGGCACCTCATTGTTCTCTGGAGCCTCGAATTTCACCTTCTTTGGCAGCAGAGGGCAGAGCAGGCGGATGGAACCTCCTGTGCACCCTGACCTCAGCCTCCAACACGTCCTCCCCCGCTCCCCTCCACCCCCTGCCTCCCCCCTTCGTTCTCTGCTTCACATCTGGGCACCCACGCAGGGTGGACACAGGCACGTCTGTAACCACATGTCAGGCGCTCTTGGAGGAGGCGGGCAGAGGGGGACTGACCCTGTCTCCCCACAGGGGTGATCATCAAGAGGAAGCGGGGGGAGATCCCCTGCCCCCTGGCCGTGGAGGCGTTTGCTGCTCACCTCAGCTACATCTGCAAGTACGACGACAAGTACAGCAAGTAGGTGGCCCCCTGGACCCCCACTCCCACCCCGGGGCGGGGGGGAGGGGGGTCCTGCAGTGGCACTGTCATAGAATATGGAAGTTGGTAGGTGGTCTCTAGTTGCCCCAATTTCAGAAGTAAGAAAGCGAAGAGCCGGTGAGATAAATCCCGAGCCGGTACCCTGGCCTCCTGGGCCCAGGCAGCCCCGCCCCTCCGGGCACCGGCCTTCTCCACGCCCTCCCCGCCCCCTCCCCACCTGGCGGTGCCTTTACTTCCACATTCTCAGATCCTGCCGTCCCTCAGTGGTTGGCCCAGACCCTACACGCTCTGAGTCCCTCTGCCCAGACTCCCTCCTGGTCCACGCACTTGAGCTGCCACACTGAGCCGCATGTCTGCAAGCGCGGGTGATTCCGTCCGCTCCCAGTGCCTGCACCAGGGGTGGTCCTGTCTGAAGTGTCCACACGGTACACACCCCTCGCTGTCTCCTGGCCGGGCGTCAGTCTGTCCGTAACGGGAACTCAGAAATGGTTGCTCGTGGGCCTCGGCATGCCACTGAGTCTCCGGTACTGGGCCTCGTACCCAGAACAGAACCAACCCAAAAGGCAGGCGGGCATTGACTCAGCCCTCTTAGAGGGCCGGCCGCATCTTCTGGGCTTTCTTGCTGTGGGGAGGCAATGCCAAGGACCCCGTGCCCCCTGGAACCTCACTGAGGCGTGGCAGGAAGCCCGCTCCCCAAGAAGGCACCGAGCTGGCACCTACTGTGCCCTTCCCCGCGCTCAGCCCCTCATGGAGCTCCATGTGGTTAATGTGGAGAAATGGGCATTGCTGAGCAGTCCTGTGCCGGGGGCCTGCTCGGTGCGGGCGGTGGGTAGTGTGGGGGATCCGGCTCCCAGATGCCGCTGCGCAGTCGGGGAGCAGAGACAGTGTGGATGGAAGGCCCCATGCAGGGAGGAGTCCTCAGTCGGGCTGGCCCAGGAGGGACGCACCATCCTCGCCCTCGGGGGCAGAAAAGGCCCCCCGAGGTGACGTTTGCCCTCCATCTGCAGGGAAGGAGGGGTGGCGAGGAGGCATGCCCTCGGGGAGAAGAAAGCGCCCCGCACAGGCCTGCAGTGAAGGGCGAACTTGACCCTTGGAAAGTGGGTCAGTGTGCACAGAACACAGCCTTTGAGGAGAAGGCCCGGAGCAGGCAGAGAGTTCCCCGGGGCCCGGTTCTGGGAGCCCCCCAAGGCCTGTCTCCCAGTTTCCTCCCTGCCCTCTCTGTAATGGGAGCAGTTCTCATCTTCTCTGTCTTAAGGAAAGCTCTCTGTGACAGAGCCTCGGCCACGCTGACCGACCTGCCCCAGCCTGGCTCTTACCTGTGCCCCCCCTGCTGGCCGGGAGGAGGCCTTTGGGGACCCGCGGTCCTGACTTGGGTGCCCAGCGGCCGCCAGGTCAGCCTTTCTGACTCCTGGTGTCCCTGCAGGTATTTCATTTCTCACAAACCGAACAAGACCTGGCAGCAGGTGTTCTGGTTTGCGGTCAGCATCGCTGTCAACAACGCCTACATCCTATACAAGATGTCGGACGCCTACCACGTGAAGAGGTACAGCCGGGCGCAGTTCGGCGAGAGACTTGTGAGGGAGCTGCTGGGCCTGGAGGACGCCTCTCCAACCCACTGATGCCGGGCCGGGCCCAGGCGAGGGCCAGGCGGAGGGCGGGGACAAGGAGGGAGAGGGCCCGCCACTCCGACCCGCCTGCCCAGAGCCCCGGAGACACGCTGCTGTGACCTCTGCAGGGACCCGACGGACCTGGCCAGGGGACGGCGGCTGCCCCGGTTTCCGTCCCAGGAAGAGCATGGCCTCCCCCCAGGGAGTAGCTGCCCGCCTCCTGGGGATGCTGCCCAAGGGTGGGGCGCCACACCCGACCCCGCCTGCCGGGTGCCCCCAGGGCCGCTGCCCGCCCCGTCCTGCCCAGCGGGGCATTCCGTCCGCACGGTGCCTGCAGGAGAGCTCAGCTCTGAGCCCCGGGGACCTGGCCAGGCCTTGCCACCAAAGGCGCCAGGGACAGGAAGAGCCGAAGCATGTCCTGCTAGAAACGCCGCTGTGTGAAGATGTCAAGACATTCGTGGCACGGTTCACTCGTCTGCTGCATCTGCAGGCGACCGGAAGCAGGCGGAGGCCGGCTCTTTGCCGCTAGGACTGTCCAGATACGCACGGGGGAGCGAGGGCTCTCCCAGCTTGGCCTCTGCGAGCAGCTTAGAGCGGGTCTCCCGGAAGAACAAACAGCGGGCCGCTGTGTGATGGGCGGGGAGGGGACCCAGTGCCGGCCAGCAAATGAGGCCTTCCTGGGTGTGTGGCCTGTCCCTCGGGCGGACGGGGAGAAGGGAAAACGCCAACAATCGCAGTGAAGTGTGATGCTATTTTTTATTTTTAAATATATCTTCAGGTTATTTTCTTACTGTTGCTTAAGATCTTCTGTAAAAGGAAAATGTCTCCCTCCTTTCCTGCCCCCTTCCCCCCCCCCCGACCCCCGCCTCCCCCAGTCACGGCTCCTTGCTCGGCCCCGGTTCTGTGGTCTGGGCGCCTGCCCCTGCCGGGGCCAGAAGGGGCGCTCGCCACCAGAACAGACGTGTTGCACCCACCGAGGACCCAGGGGGCCTGCGGGCCTTCAGCTTTGTCACCGACCTTGTCGTGGGCAGAATTACTTGTTTAGGAAAATATGTAGCATTGCCAAGACGAACAGCAAGATGTGTCCAGGGATGACCACTCTTCCCCGCATGTGCAGCGAGTAACCTGGCCCTGTTTGCCTGTCTCAGGTTGCACCCCGGGGGTGGTTCTGCTGACCCCGCAGACCCCGCGGGGCACAGGCTGCTGGCTGGGTGGTGGGATTTCCCCCGGGGCCGGCTCACTGCTGGACCAGAAGGACAGCAGCCGGCAGCCAGGCCCCACTCACTCCCCGGGGCATCCCGGGCTCTTTCTGAATCCTGGCTCCAGGTCTCCTGGGAGGAGGCCTCAGCCAGGGCGGCCAACTGCCCGGCTGTCCCCACAGACGACAAACAAGTCATTCCTGGAGTCCCCTGGTCCCCCAGCAGCCACTTCACACCGCCCCCTCACTTGTACAAGCGTGGCATCTACTCTACTCAGGCTCGGGGACTTTGTCCCGTGGTCACTCACACGCAGTGCGTGAGCCGTGTTGCCGGCAGCATGCCCCCAGCTCCATGTCACCCGTGTCCTCGGTGCGTGACGGCCACCCTCGTCCTTGGTGTTCATTCAGTGCCACGGATTGCAGGCCAAATTTTAAATTGCATTTCGAAACACCGTTGCCATGTCCTTTACTCAGATTGAAAGCACTTTTACCACGTGGAGAAATATATTTTTAATTTGTGATGCTTTTCTACAAGGTCCACTATTTCTGAGTTTAATGTGTTTCCAACACTTTAGGGAGACTAATGAAAGCTGATGAGTTTTCTTTTCTGTCCAAATAAGTAAAATAAAAATCTATTTAGATGTTGATTCCTTGTTAATATATGTGACCTGGTTAAAAGGCCACCAAGTGCGGCCCCGCCCCCACCCTCCTCAGCCTCCCGCCCTGAGGGGTCTCACAGGAGCGGGGGGGGGGGGGGCTTGTGCCCGGGAGAACATCTGGCAGACACGCCCGTCACCTGTGAGCCATGTGCAGAATCGCCAGCTCCGTCCCATCTCCTCTGGTGGGTGTTTCATGGCAAACCCTCTCCCCGCGGGCCAGAGGTGAGAACCACCCAGTGACGGGCTGGTGGGAGGCAGCTGAGCGACGCCGGGTGCCGTCCTCCACCTGGCTCCCCGCACTGCCCCTCGGGCCACGGTTTGGGAGGCATGGCCGCAAAGGTGAACAGACAAGGCCCAACTCCTCGGAGTGTCGCCCATGCACCAGCTCCTGTTACAGGGACCCCCGGAAGCAGGCGTGGCCTGTCATTGCCCGAGGTGACAGGAGAGATGGCACAGCGTGCCCAGGAGAGCCGCTGAAGGCTGAGGAGTGTCCTCACGGCCCAGGCCCCTGCCGCCCTGTGGGTGAGGGGCCAGAGTGACCGTTCTCCAAAACGCCAGTCAGACTCTCCTCAAGGCTTTTCCCACTCCCCAGGTCGTCCCTGGTTCTGTCCCCACAGCACTGGTCAACCATCGGGGGTAGAAAGCACAGCCTTCCCCGACGGGCACCAGAGGAAAGGGAGTCCCCCACGAGGACACAGCGCGCCCACCCAGGGAGGTGCAGGAAGTGCCCCCAGGCCCCGCCCCAGCAGCCACGGTGGGCTTCGGGAAAAACTCTCTCTGAAGCCCCTGCTGCCTTGGACCCTGAGTCCGCAGCCTCACTGTGTCCCCAGACGCCTTGTCTCTCTACTGGGGACACGGAAATGCTCCGCTTCGGTCTCCATCCCTTTTCATTCTGTGGCTTCTGTCCCGTCTTTGAAAGTAAGCCTAGGCCTTCTTTCTAAGGACGTCATTCTCTCCCAGTAGGAAACAAAACAGGGTGTCAGGCGCCAGCGTGGTGCGCGGAGCTGTTGCCGTAAACTGTCAGCAGCAAGCGAGGGCGTGCCAGCCGCTCGGGCGTCCACCCCGTAGCCGCTGGTGTGTGCAGATGCACACGCATCCCTCCGGGAGCTGGTCTGCGCCCTACTTCACCATCCAGGGGTTCCGACCTCAGCTGGCGGCCACCCGGCAGCTTCCTTGGAGGGCACGGGCCGCTGGCATTGGTGGTGGCTCTGTTTGGACCCTTCCCACGCCCGTGGGGGGAGAGGGGTGTCCATGCTTCCGTGCACGGCCCCATATGGGCAGGTCTTCCTCCGAAAGGGGCTCCTGTGCGGCGTTTCCGTACATTCTCCTCCTCACGAGCCACGCACGCCGCTCACTTGGGAACTTGACCTTCTGTGCCCACGTTCGAGATGCTGTCTTCTGTAAAACGCCTGCAGGGAAGCGGAACCCAACGGGCAGCTTACGTGCAGCTGCGCGGGCCCACGCTTCCTTCAGGTGGGGAGGGAGGTGTCTGTGGCCAGGGACGCAGCGAGGACTGGCGGCTTCTCTCCCCCCGCCAAGGGCACCGCGTGGGCAGTGCGCCTCCCTGGCTGAAAAATCTGCTGGGTCTTTCCCACTCATTCTCCGACTCGTCCCTGAGACAAGTCCTGCCCAAAGCCTCACCACAGTGGGAAGGACGGCTAATGGGTGCTCCTGGTCCAGGCCTGGTCGTTTCACGTCGTCCTCAGGGTTGCCCGGTGAGCTAACAACCGCCACTGGGGACCGGGGAAAGTGATGCTTTGGCGGGGGAGACTTGCGGGGGAGGAGCTTGGGCGAAGGCCAGTGCCTTCACTGGTCAGTCTCAGCCGCCCCCTCAGAACTGCTACCACCTGGTGTGATGCTGTGAGCCGGGCACAGACTGACACAGGAAACTGACCCGGGAAACCCCGTTGGTCCCCCGGAGGGGCTGTGGGGCGGTCTGCGCAGGCGGCTCTGGGTAGAGAACCCAGCTGCCAGAGGGGGAGTTTTCAGCCAGGAGGGGACCCCCCACGTGGCAGAGGGAGCAGTCGATCTTGCTGTGGGATCACACACCCCACCTCTGAAATGGGGGGTGCTTTACCTTGTCAGGCACCAGACACGCCTGGCTTAGCATATCCCCAACAGACGAGCGTGCCCCCCTCAGGGGGCTGGAGTAGTCTGCACCCGGCCAGGACTTGCCGGTCTGCCTGGAGGCCAGTGACATGTCTTGGCACCGCATGTGAGCGAGCAATAGGCTAAAGGTGGTTTTCCTGTTCCAGAGGTTCCAGCCCCGCCACGGACAGTGTCTGTCTCACAAATGCATCAGGCCAGTCAGGAAACTGTTTTCTTCTAGGAAATAAGGAACCGACTTCTCTCTCCAGGCCGACAATTGACCTGAGGGGTTGCCTGTCCCCCCTGCTTTCTAGTGACCCACCTTCCGCCATAGGAAGGGGCCACAGCTTTGGCAAAAACAGTGACAGATGAGAGTCACTAGCTGGGCAGAGAGGGTTGACTTTTTTTTAAATGAGCTCTTCCCCTAGCCTCGCGGTCCCTTCAGAAATGTACCCCACCTCACACCTGAGCGCACCCCCCAGCGGTAGCGCCCAGGAATGAACAGGAGGAGAAGGAAGGGTGGGGTTTCTATCTCAGTAGGTTGGAAAGATGGACCCAGAACGGTTGTAGACATTGTGTTAGGTGTGGGCTGAAGATCTGATATGGTGGGTCGTGCGGTTTTGACAGAGGCATTCGGGGGTCACTTTTATCCATTTCAATATAATGCCCGGCAGTGGCCCGATCGATACTGGCCTGATCAACATTGACCCTCACTTATCAGTAGAAGTTCAGTGTCCCGAGTGGGATGAGTGCCCCGCTAGGTCCTGTACCATTTAAGCCACCCCTGGCCACCCCTGGCCATCACCCTACAACCAGTGACCGAGTTGGGTGCCCGGAGGCAAGGACAGTGGATCCGCACAGGCGCGGTTGGAAACCCTGGTGGATCGCGGACTCCGGCGCGGAGAGTTCTCCTCGGTCGTCCCAGCCCCCTTCCGGCCGTGGAGCACGGCGTCGCTGGGAGGCAGCCTCCAGCTCCCCGGGGGAGCATTTCCCGAAGTCCGGAGCTGCCCCGGGAAGCAGCGAACTTTCTCTCTGTTAGTGACCAGACCCAGAGGGAGGCCCCAGAGGGCGTTCCCGTGGGCCGGCGGGAGGGCAGGGGGCGGCCCTAGCTCCCAGCTGTGGGCGTGGCCCGGGCCTCCGACGGCGGTGTGTGGGCGTGGCCCAGGCCTCCAGATCAGCTGCTCCGATCCGAAGCAGGTAGAGGCAGAAAACAGCCCGCGGGCAAAGGCCTGGCTCCCGGGTTCCTGGGCGGATGGAGAAGGAGCCAGGTTGTAAAGACAATCCCCTCTCTCCAGAAGACGCCTTCACCCTCCCGGCTGCTCACCTTCCATGTCCTCCAACCTCGCTCAGGGGTAGCAGGCGTCCCTGGCCAGGAAATCTGTGTCAAAGAATCTGGAAAGATTATTTCATTTCATTTGAAAGGTTTTTTTTTTTTTTTTTTTTTTTCTGCCCTTATATCATTATCTTGATTTTGCTGACAATGTTCAGTTAAGAATCTTTAGCAGGAAATTTTAACTTGCCAGGGACAGTCTGTACATAGCCCGAGGGGGACATCCCGTGGCTGGGTCCCCACACCTCTGTGAAGATCAAACGGGCCCCTCGGGTCAAGGTTCTGCCCTGGGGCACGCTTGCAGTGGATTTCTGCCAAGGTCGTACACCGTGAATTCTGAGTCTGAAGAGCGTGCAGTATGGCCTCCAAATACACGACTTGATACATATATCTCCTCATGTGATCTTTTACAGTTTCTTCAGCCATTTGTTCCCATTCGGTAGCTGTGAAACACAGTCCAGCATCGCACTTGCTTTTCTCCAGTGGCATCGGGGAGGGGGCCAATGAGGGCTGGAGGACAGACAAAGGACAGTGGTGACAGCAGAGGCTGCATGGCCACCTGCCCCAGGGGCTCTTTGAAGGGGAGGGGGGATGGCAGGAATGCCCCCCCACACCCCTGCCCAGGGCTGTAGGCCTGCCCAACATCTGAGCCTTCCCCTGCGGGGAGTCAGAGGGGCTCTCTGGGGGGGGGGGCTCCTCCATCCCCCTCCCTTCCCCAGTGAAGCTCCCTCCACTGCTGCCCTCACCATAGCCCTGCCTTTTTCCTCCCCTTCCTCAGAAGGTTCTGGAATCAGAAGCACGAATGGTAGGTCCTTGGGAGCACAGAGAGACACACAGGGAGGGAAAAGTGCCCTCCAGCGAGAGCTGGTGCGTGCAGGGTGTAACGAAACAGAGGGTATGTGACTTTGGCTTTGCGGAAATACCCTAAAAGCCATAAAATGGGAATGGCTTTCATTCACAGGGAACATCCCCATGGATAATGAGATTATCCGCACTTTGCAGGGTCCTCGTACACGTCACTACAGGGGAATGAGAAGATGTCGAGAGGCGAGTGCTCTGCTGACAGCAGACTCTGGCGATGCTTCCAGTTCTTCTGTAAGCCCCACATAGTTTTCAGACACCCCTTTTAAAGTTTTAATGGTTTCAGGTCTTTGCTCGCCAAGCCTTTTAGAAAGCACAGAATTTACCTAGACTTCAGTGTTTGGTGACCCCGATGGGATCGTGTTCTTTCACCTCCCCCATCCTCTTGGTCTCTCTTCCCTCCTTTTCCCTTTCTACATCCCTCCCCAAACTCATCCCCTCCTCTTTCTTCCCTCCCCCTCTCTCCTGCCCCCCCTTTCCTTTCCCTCCCCCTCTCCCACATTGCTTTGGTTCCTGGACTTCCCTCCCAGTGCAGATGGGCTTGGGGGGTCCTTCCCACTGTCACCTGGGGCAGGTTCTCCAGCCTCCATGCCCACAGGCCACGGAAACCCTTCTCCCTCAG